CAAGCGAGTCTCCTGCCTCCGCCTCCCAAGTAGCTGGGACCACAGGCACCCGCCACAATGCCTGGCTATTTTTTGGTTGCAGCCATCGTTGTTTTGGCAGCCGGGGCTGGATTTGAACCGCCACCTTAGGTGTATGTGGCTGGTGCCTTAGCCACTTGAGCCACAGGTGCCGAGCCTAGATGTTTTTATTTTTGCTTCCTCAGCATGTCTCCCAGTGGCTGGCTTAAAAAGTACCTGTGTGAATGCATAAATAAATGAATGAATGGTATAAATCAAGAGCATGTGGAATAAGAAGAAATGGCAAAGTCTTAGCAAATCTTACCCTGAAGAGAAGTTTATCATGGTTGAAAATAGGATTAAATAGTTATTCTAGGGAATCTGAAATGTGATGCTGTAAAGGAATAAGGAATCATTCTAGAGTCTTAAGCAGGATAGTGATGTGGTAAACATAGTTCTCAAGGAAATTTGATCTGCCATTGATAGACAAAGAATAGAACCATGAACAATAAAGTGTACAGTTGTCCTGTGGTAGCTGTAGGGGACTGGTTTCAAAACTTCCCTCAGATGCCAAAATCCAAGGGTGCTCCGTCCGTGACATAAAATGGTGTAATATTTGCATATTGCCTGTACACATCCTCCCATGTACTTTAAATCAGCTCTAGAATACCTAGTATAATGTAAATGCTATAGAAATATTTGTTATACCATATTTTTAAGAGAATACTGTTAAAAAAATAGTCTATACCAGGGGTCCTCAAACTTTTTAAACAGGGGGTGCCAGTTCACTGTCCCTCAGACCGTTGGAGGGCCAGACTGTGGGCCCCGGGATGAGTTGGCTCCTAAGCAGGACAGGCAGCAGCAGCAAAAACACCTGGCGGGCCGGATAAATGTCCTAGGTGGGCCGCATGTGGGCCATGGGCTGTACTTTGAGGATGTCTGGTCTATACGTTCTGTACAGATGCAACCATCCGTTTTTCCCTGAATACTTTTGATCTACAGTTGGATGAATTCACAAAAACAAAACCCATTTATATGAGGGCCAACTGTACTACAACTGAGTAAATGTGTATATGACAAGAACTTGTAAATACCTATAAATGACCATATTGTCAGTGATAGCTGAATGATTCAAATCTTCCTTCAAAGGATTAAGCTCAACTTGCCCATGAAAGGATAAATCCTAAAAATCTAATTCTGGTTGATTTAATGTAGGAATATATTCTTTATATTATTGTTGGTTCTGATTAAAATAAAGGAATAGAAATCAACTCCCTTCCTCCCTGGTTTATGACCTATAAATTATTCAGTAAAATATCCCCGAGTTACTATGAGAAGCAGGAATAAAAAAACTATGAAGTATGAATGTTTTCTTAAAAGTTTTTTTGAATGAAACTTTTGAAAATCAATTTAACCATATAGAGACTTGAAATTGCATTGTGGCTTCTGAAAACTTATCAGTTTCTCCTAGGGGAATTTTGTGTATACTAAAGTATAAAAGTATGCAGATTAATGGTTTTTTCTCTCTTTTTTGAACAGCAAAACTTAGAGAGTAACCTCACCAACCTGATTAAGAGGAATACAGAACTAGAGACCCTTTTGGCTAAACTCATTCAAACATGCCAACATGTTGAGGTGAGTATCTATGTATGTCTGGGTGATATGTTTCATATGAAAACTACTAGATGTATGTCCTCTTGCTTTATAATTCTAAAACAAGAATCTTTCTTAAAATTAAATATTTTGGGGCGCTGGCCCCATATACCCAGGGTGGCGGGTTCAAACCCAGCCCCAGCCAAACTGCAACAAAAAAATAGCTGGGCCTTGTGGCAAATGTCTGTAGTCTCAGCTACTTGGGAGGCTGAGGCAAGAGAATCACCTAAGCCCGGGAGTTGGAGGTTTCTCTGAGCTGTGATACTACAGCACTCTACCAAGGACAATAAAGTGAGACTCTGTCTCTTAAAAAAAAAAAAATGAAATCTTTTTCAGAAGCCAAATATAAAAGATGTATTAAATTGAAAGGAACTAGAACCTTAGAGACTCTCTACCATCCAGGACCACACACCCCCATTGTAACTCTCCTTGATCCATCATTACACAGTGATCCTAATGTTACAGATTTTAATCACCCTTCCAAAGAACAGCCAAAAAAAGCACTGTTTAAAAGGTGTTGTGTTAGTTTACTAGGGCTGCCGTAACAAATTCCCACACATTTGGACAGCATAAAACAAGGGACGTTTATTGTCTCACAGTTCTTTCTCGAGGCCAGGAGGCTGAAATCAAAGTTTTGGCAGGGCCCTGCTCCCTCTGTCAGTTCCAGGGGAGGATTCTTCCTCGCTTCTTCCCACCTTCTGATGGTTGCAGGCAATTCTTGGAGCTCCTTGGCTTGCAGCTGCAGCACTCTGATCTCTGCCTGTGCCATCACATGGCATTTTCCTGCTGTGTCTCTGTGTTTGTGTCCAAATATCCTTTTTATAAAGAACTCAAGCTATTCCAGCCTTGCCTCACTTGAATTTGATTACATCTGTATAGATTCTATTTCCAAATAAGGTCTTGTTCACAGATACTGGGGATTAGGACTTGAAGATCTCATTTGGGGGGATACAGTTCAATCTAATACAGGTATATATTAAATGCATTTTAGTCATCAGATGTATTTCCATGAAATCCACTACAATTTCAGCAATAGCAGAACCTGTAATGACTCTACATTGCATAAGGAAAAAACAGATACCCAGGCCTTAGTGTGGTTTTTCACGTCTTCCTCCATCTTCTTCCGACCTATCTTTCCCACTATCTTATTCCATACACTAAAACTAAACAATTACCATTCACAACACTTTTAAGCCTTCAGCCTGTAACCAAGTAGTTCTGTGCCAAATAAGCACATCTTCCCATTCTATGTCTTTTTTCTTTTTTTGCAGCTTTGGCCGGGGCCAGGTTCAAACCCGCCACCCCCGGTATATGGGGCCAGTGCCCCACTCCTTGAGCTATAGGTGCTGCCCCCATTCTATGTCTTTTTATCAGAATCCTTCCTGTCTATTCTCCATGTTCCAACTCAAGGGACACTTTAACTGTGAACGTTTCTCTGATTCCCCAGACTAGAATCATCTCTTCTCTGAATCAGATAATACTTTATCAACAATCTTCTTGTGGCTTTTATCACTCTTTCATGTACCAGTTCCATTTTTCCAACCAGAATGTGAAGTCTTTGAGGATGGAGATCAAATCTTTGTATTTCAGAGTCTCTAGTACAGTAGTTTTCACACAGTAGAAGCTCATGGAGTTTGTATTGGACAGATGCGCATGATGACTCTCTGAATGGCCAATCTGAACATTATTTGAATGCTTCTAAGTTTATCTCCCCCAAATATCTAAGGTTGGAGGAGCAAAAGTTTTGACGGTAACTACATTTTTGCAATAGCAATTTCTTCAAATCTCTTATCACATAAGCAGTAATTATAATTTTATGGCCCCATGTGCTTATAACTGTGGAAGTAGATGTACAATATCGTTACAAAATCAGATCACAAAGTGCTAGAGAACAAAGTACACACACATAATAACACAATGGAAGAACAGTGGAGTAGTCATTCAGGTGCTGAACTAGTACAACATTGCATCTATTTGACTCTAAGATCCACATTTTTTTTTTCAAGACTACTATTTCTGAAGTTGGACTGCAACTTAAAAGTAATGGTCAGGCAGTTTAATGCGATGGATTTTTTATTCACAAAATATGGATAAACAGTTGCTGCTTTCTTAGATTGAATGTAGTATGACATGGTAAGTGGGATTTGCCTGAAACTTTATAGAGGAGTCAGGACTTGAGCCAGATCCTGTAGATTTCACAACTCCCATTTTTCAAAATACTCCAGGTATTGGGATGCCAGCTTATTTATGCAACACCATGGTGTTAGTCAATGATACCATCCTCAGCATAATAGAAATAGGCAAATGTTGCTTTCAGATCCTATCAGCAAAAAGCATCTGTACTGTACAAATACTGGTGCTTTGATGGAAGACTTGAAATACTTTGTGTTCATACAGTTTGTACTTTGACTTACAATTGTGTGACTTACGAAACTGGTTACTAAGAGAAACACATGAGTGAGCATCTTTTTCCAACTCTAGATTGGTCATGCTTTCCTACAATAGTATCCAGAAGGACAGAAAGTAGGGGTGTTCACTTTTCCCACCTGAGCCATCACTCCAGTTGTTCATCATCCGATGTGCTGATGAGTAGGCTATGATAGGTGGAGGAGGGAAAGACATACAGAAGGAAAGAAAAGGAGGAATTAGAGCAAAGCATAGGTGAGAGAGCAGATTACACTTTCCAACGAGCTCATTGGCTCATGCCATAGATCCCCTGGCTTTAAGAACCACATGATGCTCAAGGTAGTACCAGCCTTCCCATCATGTGGACAAGGTCAGGAATATGAAGGCAGCAGTGACAGCAATAGCATGTTGCCGCCCCCAGATCTTTGCTCAGGCAGGATTCACTTCTGGCCATGATCTACCAGGAAACGTGTTGAGTCTTGTTGACTAAACGACATTGGAAATAATCGTGAGCAAGCATAATGTTTTGATTGTTATAGAGTAAAGTGAATATGTATTATGTGAATAAATGAATAAAATGGAATCATCCATGTGCCATATTTTAATTTTATGATGTGATGGCATTTGATATTTAGGACAATAAGAAAGAGTTATTTCTCTTCAGTAAAAAAAAAAAATTACCTGAGCTTTATGGTAAATCTCATAAATGCTTTATGGATTAGGTGATTATTTCATTCAATTTTAGCTAGTTACTTCTTAAAGCATTAGCGTCTGGTTTCCATTATGGCCTGTAGTAATTTTAGAGTAAATGCCTTGCTCCTAATGCAGTATTAGTATGGCTTTTATTTACAAAATGCTATTCATCCTAACATTACCATCTACAATGTTCAGTAATTTCAAATGATAAACTCAAGAAATTTACAAGCAGATTTTATTTTGATTTCAACAGTTCAGGTATTATTTTAGTTGAGATACAGGCTTTTCAAATAAAGCTATTACAGAATTGATCATAGCAGACTTACAAGTAGACACACATGTGCTATTAGAAGTTATTCTAGACAGGGCTAGGCGCCTGTGGCTCAAGTGGCTAAGGCGCCAGCCACATAAACCTAAGGTGGTGGGTTCGAATCCAGCCCAGGCCCACCAAAACAACAATGATGGCTGCAACCAAAAAATAGCCGGGCATTGTGGTGGGTGCCTGTGGTCCCAGCTACTTGGGAGGCAGAGGCAGGAGACTCGCTTGAGCCCAGGAGTTGGAGGTTGCTGTGAGTTGTGATGCCACAGCACTCTGCCCAGGGGGATAGCTTGAGGCTCTGTCTCAAAAAAAAAAAAAAAAGTTATTCTAGACAGGAATTAAGAAGATCCATTTTTCTGTTGGTTTTGCCTAAGTCCTTTGGAATGGAAACAAATGTACAAGTAGAAAATACTGCTAGTTAGCAATACCTATTTTTTTCTTTTGAGACAGTCTCACTATGTCACCCTCAGTAGAGTGCTGTGGCATCACAGCTCACAGCAACCTCAAACTCCCGGGCTTAAGCCATTATCTTGCCTCAGCCTTCCAAGTACCTGGGACTACAGGCACCCACCACAACACTTGGCTCTTTTTTTGTTGCAGTTGTCATTGTTGTTTTAGCAGGACTGGGCCGGGTTCGATTGTGCCAACCTTGGTGTATGTGGCCGGTGCCCTACCCACTGTGCTATAGGCGCCACCACAATACCTATTTTTAAATTTATTCCTAATAATATTCTCAAATATAATTTTTCAAAAATATAAACAATTCTCACATAATAATCAAATGAATCTTCATCAAAGATGTATTTGACTCATCAGGGTCAAGATGATAAAGCTGGTTCAAAGGGTGGTGCCAGTGTAAACATGGAGCGAGGGATATACTAGGGGAAAAGGGCGTACAGAGCGATAAATTAGCCTTAACATTCGTGCAAAATCAGTTGCACATTATCAGGTTACTGTAAGTTAGCATCTAACTTTGCAGAGCGTAGGCCCTAAGCAATAGTCAATAGGAAGTAAAATTCCATTACACACCAGTCTGGGGAGTCAGATGACCCTGATTTAGGCTGGCTTCGTGGAATATGCCCTAGTAGGCCTTAGGTAGGGCTCAGTCTTCTTTTTCCCTGATTTTTAAGTTTTAGCTAATTTGCTTACCATGACTTTGTATTCTGGAGACTGCTAGTCTATAAGCAGTGTTTGCTACACAAACACTTCTGAATAAGGGTATAAATCTTTGCCTGTGTTAGTGTCATATTTGTTCATGTCCTTAGCAGGGATGGAACACCTAGTGTGCACTAGGTAAGAATCCTGCCCACAGGGCACTTACTATCTTCACTAAGACAAAAGAGCTATACTTACCCTAAAAGAGGCTTGGATTATACACTTTGAAATTTCAGAGAAGTGAGAACTTACTTCTAACTGGGTTCTGGAGGAGGTAGCATGAGATCCAATCCTGCCATCAGGGTAGGTGACATTTTCATTTATGGTGAGAGGGGAACAGCAGTACTTGTCTGGCAAACAAAGGCACATGGGGGAGGAAAAATGAACAGTATGTGTAGATGAGGAA